GTCGTGGTAGTCGTAGTAGTCGTAGTCGTCGTCGTCGTAGTAGTAGTAGTAGTAGTAGTAGTAGTAGTAGTAATTGTAATAGTAGGAGCAAGAGTAGGAGTACAGTAGCAGTAGCAGAAGCAGCAGCAGTAGCAGTAGAAGTAGCAGTGGCAGGAGCAGCAGTAGCAGCCAGCAGCAGGAGCTGCCACAATTCGCGGTATGTTTTAAACATAGTTTGTCGTGGTAATAGTGATCAACCTTTTTCATAGTAAGTTCAGTCAGCATCATAAGAGCACTGGATGTAGCAAAGCTTACACAGAATAGTAGAGCAATCGGTGTGGTCATAACACATCTACGGTTTCATTGCTTCCATGTTTGTCACAACCTTCAACATCACCATTATCATCATGACTGCCTTTGCCGATTCGTTGTTTTCAAACAGAACCTTAAACAGATGCACCCTGAAGCTAAACCGTAAACTCCAGCATCCTGGATTCGGCCTGGCCTGGTTTTGAGAGCCCTGGCATCGTGGGATAGCAAGTGGTTGCTGCCGCTTGAGACAAGCATCGGGGTGTCCTAATTCTACCTCATACAGTACGAAATAAACTAATTAAAGACTGTCGTTTTGCTAAGGACGTCGCTGCGCTTGGTGAAAAGCAAGCCCTCAAGACCTTGCCGGACAGCGCCTGCTGCTGCTTTGTCAGAGAGCTCTCATTTTGATTCGGGCGGCACAACAGCAGTAACCAAGATGACGACAGCAATGAGCAGCACTTGTTCAAACTAGTGGCACAAACAGTCACAGTGAAGAGAGTTAGTCGTGCAGCCAAGACGACATCAGTAGTGCAGAGTAATCACGAAAGAGCATGCTGAGCGCAGGACTGCTCATAGTAGCAACAGCAGCCTTGACCGCAGCAATTACAGATGTAACCAGTGGTGTTGATGGTACTTGTGACAGCAACGTTCTTGACGCAGGTGAAAGAAGAACAGTTGAATGATAATTTGAAAAAAAAAGTAGTACTACAAAACATAACATTAGTAACAACAATAATCATAATAATTATGACCCTCGGGATGATGAGGCTCAGACGTAAATTACCCAACTGCCCGTCCGTGGGTCTTAGTGACGTCGGCGGGAAAAGAAAGTTCTCGATCTCGCATCCTAAGGCTTCCCCACCGAGAGTTACCGTCCAGGGATGTCCAGGGTTTTAGGGTTTTGGGGGCTTGGGTCTTTCAATCGTGAAAGCCTGAATCCTCCACGAAGGAGCACACGTTGGGAATCAGGGTATCAAAGTCCCCTTGACGTACTTGGTTTGGTTAGTACAAGAGCAACGTACTGATAGTATCTGTTAGCTATCCTCGTGTTTCGATGAGCCTGGCTTGTTGGGAGGACAGTGGCTGCGTATACGTCGCTCAAGTGGACTATGACCGGGTCTTCTTGCGGGACGAATCTGGGAACTACTTTGAGGCCGGTCTCCGGATCTCGGGTCTTGCTGGTTCCGCGCAGTGGGAGGGGTCCATCATGATCTTGGCCATGGTCACCTAAAGCTCTAAACCCGAAGCCTCTAAAACCTAAAACCCTGAACCCTAAGCACTTAACTAAAATGAACTGAGGGGCCATCAAAGGCTCTCAGGGCCCAGCTGTTAAAGGAGCTGAACGAGATAGAAAGCGAAGCGGTATTTGTTGGACTCCGGTTTTCAGGAAACTCCGGGAGAAAACGAAGGCTTCACAGCTGCTGGATGCTTGATATCTCTAAGCCATGGTATTTCTGACCTTCACAGCGTGAAAGTGTCGTTAGACCCAATGCCACCGATTCTTGAAACATCTGGAAAGGTAATTACATTCTGGTCTGCAGCTAAACCCTTGACATGGGATATGCGGCAAAGTCATTAATCGTAAGGTTAGGTATCGTTAAAATAGTAGATGAATAGAGCGAAATCAGCTTGACCAAGCATAGCAGAATCCATGAACCCCAAACCCTAAACCCTAAACCCTGAAACCCTAAACCCTAAAGCCTCAAGGTTCGTGGCGACCAGTCTGTTGACTTCAAGCTGGTGGTCTCCATGGGAGATGACTTCGCATCGCCTAGATGCAGCTCCTCCTGCACTCGGATTCGGAGTTTAGTTGCGTATTATGATTTTCATGATGGTCACTACTATCATGATTACTACTATTATTAATACTACTACTACTACTACTACTACCACTACTACTACTACTACTACTCTTAGTATTCTGATTAATATGGCTATGCTAATTATTACCATACCCCTTTTCTGATGGTTGTCCTGATTTTTTTAGCTCCGGGGTCTTGGGGGGGCCTCACGGGTCGAAGCCGAAGTCCGAGGTTTGAGAACCAGGGTCTTATTGATAGTACAAATTCTGCATTCAAGGACCCTAGGCTATGGGAAGTATGGCATCTTCCTTATTATGGGTAGTGCAGGATGATACGGTTGATGGTACAAATACTGCATTACCCATAGTAAGGAAATGCCATATAGTTTCCATAGTTTAGGGTCCTTAAGGTCATGCAGGCTTTATGTCATCAACAGTATTACGTGAGCCTCAGCCGGTGTTACTGCCATATTTTCAGCAAGGGTTCAGGGTCAAGGGTGTTAAGCCATGTTAATCAAGGGTTCAGGGCTCATAGGAAGTTTAGGGCTTGGGGCATGTTGTTCTTAGCACCACGCCACGCTCAACTCTTTCGGCTAACTTTTTTTAACCAGCACCTGCACTGGTCAGTTCATCAAGCTCTCAGCGCTGAGCACCTAAACCCTAAACCCTAAACCCTAAACCCTAAACCGACTTAAGGAGATCATCGGGATGAGGTCCTCTAAACCCTACTATGGTCTAGGTAAGTTCCAAGCATGGCGTATGTTTTGCCCGAGTTGTCAGACTAGAGTGTAGTGTACCATTACATCGTATTTTCGTTCTTTCGTCCAAGGTTTGTGCTATAGCTGCTACGGTAGAGTGAGTTAGCGTTTACTAGAACAAAGATCTCCAAAACAGACCGTAAGTCTAAGTTGGAACAAGCCCATCCGGCCTCGCACCTTCAAACCCTGAAACTTATAAGTTCTAAACCCGATCTCAGCATCTATTCTGAGAGGTGTGCTTCCGCAGATGCCCTTCAAGCATCCGGATGCATCCTTTCTGCCGCTGCCCGAAGAGGCCTTTGAGCACAGAAATACTGAATTCTACCTACAGTCTCCATTGTAGTTCCTTTTTTTGGTTTAACCAAGAAAATATAAAGGATCCAATAAGGTAACCCCAAAAAGGAACTACAACGGGAGACTGCAGGTGGTCGCCGAATCTAAGCGATTGGTGCTAAGGTTCTCACCCTTGGGCCGCAAATTTTAGAGTTTAGGGTTTAGGGGAAACCCCCTATATAGACCCCTAAGCCAGCACACCTGGAATCGCCCGACGACTGCATCATAGAACCCCAAAGGCCTAACCACTAAAGTAACAACCCCTTGACGCCTAAGCCCAAACAAAGCCTCTAAGCTTTCAACACTAAAGATGCGAGCCATGGGAGTTTTTCGGGTGAGTTTCAGAACATCGGCATTTAGAGTTTTGGTTTACCCTGAAGAAGCAGATCCGTGTGACCGCTCATGGTTTCGTTCAAGGCCTCGGGCTTCGGTGAAAGATTTCCAGTGCTCTAGTGTATAGCCGGAATCGGGTTGGCCTAGCAGGCTGGCATTGAGCCTATGTGTTGTATAGTACGGTCTCATGTCGTATTCATTCATACCCCGCCTCCCCAGACCGAAGATCTTCTGGAAGAATCGTCGCTGCGTGCATCGCACTTGTGCAGGTCCTTATTTTATGAAGACGTTTAGCTGTTCCGCCCGATTCCGGGAGTAAAAGGTTCAGCGGATTGGCTCTTCGTGGTTTGAGCACGCACGATGATGAAGACGACGACGGCGGCCGCGACGACGATGGGGACGACCTCTGCCGCTATCCATCGCCATCCCCGCGACACTTAACACTGAGTGACAGTTCAGAATGATTTTTTACAGGGTTCCAGACTTTGCTGTAGCCATGTGCAGGATTCCGAACCTAAGCCCCAAAATCCCAGACCCCACGACGAGGGTTCATGGTTGGGTTTCAGGCTCATCAGAGATTCAGGCTCCTAGGTTTAGGGCTTACTATAGGGGCTTAAGTAAGTACAAATACTGTTCATTTAGCGTTCCTTACCATACTGATATCATATCGTATTGTACCCTACGGCCATATTCTTATTATTAAGGCCCCTACACTAGGACTTGGTGGTTTAGAGTTCAGGGGTTTGGGGTTAGGGACTGGGCATGGTTCAGATTTTCAGGCTTTGGGGGGGTAAGATCTCCATGGGCCTCGAAGGCCCAAGAGCCGCACTGAACATTCCACGAAGAGCAGCGGAAGAGCTGCTCCAGTCAGAGTCAGGGAATGAGGTTTAGGGTTTAGGGTTTAGGGTGTAGGGTTCAGTGAAGGCATAATATTATGTGGCAAGCACGTGGGGGGTGCGTTTTTCTGTTAGGAGAGGGGGTCCCGATGTTCTTGATCCCCAAGTCCTCACATCCTCAGGCCACCTCAGCTGAAGAGCCATGACTCCGAAAGCATGACGAACAGGACCTGAGTTCCCTTAAACCTTAAACCCTAAACCCTAAACTCTAACCCTAAACCCTAAACCCTAAACCCTAAAACCCTAAACCCTAAACCCTAAACCCTAAACCCCAACACTTCGAGTTTGCCTGGAGGCCCCACCGCCTCGACTCTTCGTGGTCTACGGCGACGGGGAGGTGCCTTCCTTGGAGAAGGGGTTTAGGATTTGGGTTTAGGGTTTAGGGTTTAGGGTTTAGGGTTTAGGGTTTAGGGTTTAGGGTTTAGGGTTTAGGGTTTAGGATTTAGGGTTTAGGGGTTTAGGATTTGGGGCTTTGAGCCCAAACCCTAAACCCTAAACCCCAAACCCTGAAGCTCAAGGGTGTGGCGGTTTGAGGTTTAGGGTTCTGATGGTTGTTTGTTATGCCTTGTCGAGTAAACGGTAATGTTGTTGCTGCTGTTTGTTGCTATGAAATCTTTGCAAGTGCCACCCCTTTGGACACTAAATACACACTGTTAAGGTCTACGAGGCATATAGACTTTGAAAGAACCCTAAACCCTAAACCCTAAATACCCTAAACCCTAAACCCTAAACCCTAAACCCTACGGGCCTAAACCCTACACCCGAAGATCTGAGACCCTAAAGACCACTACACCCTAAAGCCCCCAAAATAATCTTACAAATCTCAGATCTACTCCCAAACCCTAAACCGCAAACCCTAAACCCCAAACCCTGAAATCGTAAACCCTGAACCCCAAACCCTGAAACCCTAAACCCAAACACCCGAAACCCCAAACAGCTAAACCCTAAACCCTGAACCCTAAAGCCTAAACCGTGTGAGGCCCTAGCGAAGCCTCGTGTCGTCAGGCCGAGGAGCTTCTTCTCCCACGGGAGGTGGAGGAGGCCTCGCACTGTTCTACGCAAAATAAGTTCGCATGGAAAATCTGATTGACAAGAAAAGCAAACAAATAATTCAATGAATAGTAGTGTGTGTGTGTGTAATGTGTGTGTATATGGCTGTATGTATGGTTCTGTTTCATTATGCGTGCATGTGTGTATGTATGTATGTATGTATGTATGTATGTATGTATGTATGTATGTATGTATGCATGCATGTGTGCATGTATGCATGTGTATATGTGTATGCGTGAAGAACGAAAGGAAGGATGTATGTATGTATGTATGTATGTATGTATGTATGTATGTATGTAGGCCGGTCGGTAGGTAGGTAGTTATAGGTATAGGTATAGGTATAGGTACAGGTATAGGTATAGGTACAGGTATTGGTATAGGTACAGGTATAGGTATAGGTATAGGTATAGGTATAGGTATAGGTATGGTTATAGGTATAGGTATAGGCATAGGCATAGGCATAGGTATAGGTCCGTATAGGTATAGGTATAGGTAGGTAGGTAGCTAGGTAGGTAGGTAGGTAGGTAGGTAGGTAGGTAGGTAGGGGCATCAATGTCGTCGTTGTCGAGTAGTCGCCGTCGTCCTTATCATCTTCGTCATCATCGTCATCATCGTCATCATCATCACCATCATCAGTTTCATCATATTCATCATCTTCATCGTCATCACCATCATCACCATCATCACCATCATCACCATCACCGTCACCATCTCCATCGTCATGACCGTCACAATCATCATGAGCAGCAGCAGCAGCAACAGTGGATAGCAGTAGGAGCAGCAGCATCATCATCGGCTTCATCATCAGCAGCAACATCAGTATGAGAATCAGCATCAACATCAGCATCAGCATCAGCAGCAGTAGCAGTATCAGTACTTAGAACTGTAGCTACATAGGGTCAAAGTTTACCAGAGCCGGGAACTCATAGGCAGTCTGATATCGAAATGCATCTCAGCTTTGAATCCCATGCCCCCAATAGTTCGACCTCGAACATTACAGATCTTCGGCTCGCAACCTAGAAGTCTCAACCTGTTCTTGTGCGGGACCTTGCCGTCGACTTCTGATTACTCAACGTGGTACCTAAGAGGAGGCCCCGCCAGTACCTGCCCGGCCCCCGAAACGAAAGCAGAAGCGACCCAGAAATTGTATCACAGTTTTCTCCACAACCTCCAGCCGCCTCGGACTCTACTCTAAACCCTAACCGCGCGATGCTGGGAGATGCTTCGGCTGGCAAAGCAGGATCCCAATGCACTTGTGCAGTGCTCAGCTGTCAACGCATTACGGGGCGTGGGTGGGTGGGTGGATCACATGCTGTTTAGGGATTCGGGGTTCAAGATGAATCTACAAAAGGTGACCGTCCGGTGACGGTCAGAGGACTCGCACCTACTCTGGAGAGAACTTGAAGACTTGGGGTCCTGTCTTGAGAGTTTGTGTGGAAGTAGAGTATTTGCACCTGTGCTTTTAAATGGGGGGCATCTCAATTCAGATAGGTTTCTGTGGAAGGTTCATGGATATTTCCAAAAGGTACGCGTACCGTTCAGTACGGAACTACAGCTACAGGCTAAGTACGTGAGGGCCCTAACAGGCAGTTGCAGTGCAGTTCTTCCAGCGGACCGGCCTGGCTGCAGATGCGATACCTCCAACAACCCAAACGGTCTAGTGATCATTGTTTCCCGATTTACGGTTTAGGGTTTTCAGGAACGAAAAGGTTCCAGCACCAAACGATGAACATTGACATGTGTAAGGTGAGGGAAAGTCAAACTTCTCACGTGGGGCTGTTGGGATAGTGTAGATTCGTAGATGTTGAATCGGGTCGTCTCCGAAGCAGGAGAGAAGCTACACATGTCGCATGGTTTCGGCTCGTAGCAAAGTCATTGAGGAGATTTACACAGCCCCAAGAGCTTTGGAATTTCAGCCAAGGGTGTCATGCTTAGGATGTAGGATCTGTGACCTTGGTTTTGTCAAAAGAGAAGTCCTAACCCCTAACACCAAAGCCCTAAACTCGAAACCTGAAGACGCAAACTCGAAACCCTAAGCCCTAAACCCTGAACCCTAAACCCTAAACCCTCAACCCTCAACCCTAAGCCCTAAACCCTCAACCCTCAGCCCTAACCCTAAACCCTCAACCCTCAACCCTAAACCCTCAACCTTCAACCCTAAGCCCTAAACCCTCAACCCTCAGCCCCAACCCTAAACCCTAAAGCCCTAAACCCTAAACCCTAAACCTCCACACCCGTCGCTCGTGGAAAAAGCGGACCTCCTGGCGCCCGGCAGTCCTCAAGGCCTCGAACCAGAAAGGGCCCTGACCCGGAGGCGCCACATATACTACGGTTTAGGGTTTAGGGTTTAGGGTTTAGGGTTTCAGGGTTTACGGTTAGGGTTGAGGGTTTAGG